GTAGAGACGGGGTTTCACCGTGTTAGCCAGGATGGTCTCGATCTCCTGACCTCGTGATCCGCCCGTCTCGGCCTCCCAAAGTGCTGGGATTACAGGCTTGAGCCACCGCGCCCGGCCAATGCAGCCATAAAAATTAAAAGTTTAAACTAAAAAAAAGTAGCATGCTCTTGGCCTCCCAAAGTACTAGGATTACAGGTGTGAGCCACCATGCCCAGCCTGAAATTATCTTTATAATCTATGATATAATTCTATGCCTACAAAATCCGAGACGAAAAGTTATAAGAATACTTTGAATTTGGTGAAGTGTCTGTAATCAAGATAAATATACAAAAACCAACAAGTTTTTATTGAAAAAAGAAAAAGAGGAAAGAAAAAGGAAAAAGATTCAAAAATGTATAGATACTTTAAATGAGATAAGAATGCTTTATTTAATAAATGGTAGTGGCATCGGGAGAAAATATTTGCAAACCACACATTTAACAACGGGCTAATATCCAAAATATATAAGGAACTGAAACCACTCAATAGCATGAAAGCAACCTAATTTAAAAATGGGCAAAACACCTACATAGACATACCTCAAAAGAAGATATACATATAGCCAACAAATACATGAAAAAAGGCTCATTATCACTAACCATCAGGGAGAGGCAAATCAAAACCACAATGAGATTATCACCTGCCAACTGCTAGGATGGCTATTACCAAAAAGACAAAAGATAGTTAAGTGTTGGCGAGAATGTGGAGAAAAGGGAACCTTTGTGCACTGTTGGTAAGAATGTAATTAGTACAGCCAGGTATGGAAAATCAGTAAAGAAGGGCTTCCTCAAAAAATAAATTAAATGAAGATACGAATCGCATGCCAATCCCAGCTTTTGGTTCAGCCAGCCAAAGGAACAACAAAATCAGGAATGTATGAATAGTTATCCGTGTACTCGCATCGTTGAATGGGCAGCATATTCCACACTCGATCTCACAGTAGCTCTAGGTACCACACGCATCAAAGATGAATGATTAACAAAAAGTGCGGGCCAGGCGCGGGGTGTGGCTCAAGGCCTCGTAATCCCAAGCAACGCACCTGTTGGGGAGGCCCGACGACTAGTCCAGCGCCGGCCCACGGCCGGGATCACTGAGGTCTACGGAGAACTCGAGACCCCGACATTACCCCGGCCTAACACAGGTGAAACCCGTCTCTACGCTAAAAATGACAAAAGAAAAACTAGGCCGGGAAAAAAGAGGGGTCGAGAATGGTGGCGGCTGCCTGTAGTCCGCAGCTATGCGCACTCTGGGAGGCTGAGGTGGGCAGAATGGGCAAGACCAGAGGACGAAAGCGCCTTGCAGTGAGCTGTAGGGATCCGTGTCCAGCGTGCACTCCAGCCCGGGTGACAGAGCGAGAGTCCGTCTCAAAAAAAAAAAAAAAAAAAGTGTGGTATATATACAACACAAAATAATAGTATACAGCCATTAAAAAATAAGGAAATTCTGTCATTTGCAAGGACATGGATGAGCCTGGAGGACACTGTACTAAGTAAAATAAGGCAGGCACAGAAAGATAAATACCACATGATCTCACTTATACATGGAATCTAAGAAGGTTGAACTCATAGAAACAGAGAGCAGAATAGCGGTTACTGGGGCCTGGGGGTGGGGGAACAGGAAAAGGGGGATATTGATCAAAGGTAACAATTTCAGTTAGATAGAAAGAATAAGCTTTAGTGATCTATTGCAGAGGATGATAATTATAATAAATAACAATGCATTGAATATTTCAAAATTGCTGAAAGAGTAGATTTTAAATGTTTTCACCACATAAAAATGGTGTGTGAGGTGATGGGTTTGTTAATGAGCACAATTTCATCATTCTATAATATAAACACATTAAGACATCATGTTGTTTTTCATAAATATATAATACATGCAATGATTATTTATCAATTAAAAATTAAGGCCAGGCATGGTGGCTCATGCCTGTAGTCCCAGCACTTTGGGAGGTCGAGGTGGGCAGATCCCTTGAGGCCAGGAGTTCAAGACCAGCCTGGGCAACAGGGCAAAACCCTGTCTCTACTAAAATTTGCTGTGCACCTGTGGTCCTAGCTACTCAGGAGGCTGAGATGGGAGAATTGCTTGAGCCTGGGAGATCAAGGTTGCAGTGAGCCAAGATTGTGTCACTGCATTTCAGCTTGGGTAACAGAGTGAGACTCTGTCTCAAAAAACTTTCCTTTAAAATTGTTAATTAAATTTAAAACAAAAAAAGAAATGGTAGTAGCATCTAGAGGGGAAAAGGTTGTCCCCTACCTCACACCATTTCAATCAGAATAAAGAACTAAATGTTATCCTGGAAGGAAGAGAAGGCAGAGAGGAAAGGAGAACACCCCCACCTCATACCATTTCAGTCAGAATAAAGAACTAAATGTTATCCTGGAAGGAAGGAAGAGGAGGCAGGGAGGAAAGGAGGAAAATGCTTTATTGGAATAATATTTAGGGGACTATCTCTACAACTGTGAGGTGGTGAAACCTTCTTTTTTTTTTTTTTTTGAGACGGAGTCTCGCTCTGTGGCCCAGGCTGGAGTGCCGTGGCCGGATCTCAGCTCACTGCAAGCTCCGCCTCCCAGGTTTATGCCATTCTCCTGCCTCAGCCTCCCGAGTAGCTGGGACTACAGGCGCCTGCCACCTCTCCCGGCTAGTTTTTTGTATTTTTTTAGTAGAGACGAGGTTTCACCAGGTTAGCCAGGATGGTCTCGATCTCCTGACCTCGTGATCCGCCCGTCTCGGCCTCCCAAAGTGCTGGGATTACAGGCTTGAGCCACCGCGCCCGGCCGGTGAAACCTTCTTAATAAGTAATGCAGGAAACCCAGATGCTGTAAAGGAAAAACTACATGACTACATAAAAGATGTTTTAAACAAGATCAAAAGACGAAAAATAATTAGCAGAAAAATACATGCAATATTTTATGACTTCAAAGGGTAAATATCCCCACTATACAAAGAGCTTGGCTGGGTGCAGTGGCTCACACCTGTAATCACAGACGGGGATTAGGAGGCCGGGGCAGGCAAATCACTTGAGGTCAGGAGTTTGAGACCAACCTGGCCAATATGGTAAAATCCTGTCTCTATTAAAAAATACAAAAATTAGCCAGGTGTGGTGGCGCCTGTCTGTAATCCCAGCTACTCTGGAGGCTGAGGCAGGAGAATCACTTGAACCCGGGAGGTGGAGGTTGCAATGAGCCGAGATCACGCCACTGCACTCCAGCCTGGGCGACAGAGCAAGACTCCGTCTCAAAAAAAAAAGAAAAAGAAAAGAAAAGAAAAAAAGAGCTCCTATAAAATAGTTCAAAAAAAAAAGAAAAAAGAAAAAAAGAAAAGGAAATATCTCCAGGAAATGGGGAAGAACACAATGGAAAACTTCCAGAAGAGGCACTGCCAATGGGCCACAGTCCACGAAGTGCAGGACGTGGCCTCACCCATTCAACAGGCAGTATGTCAGACAGGAGAAAGTGTCCTCCCCTTCATGGCTTCCGGCATGTAAATTGCTATAACTTTCTGGGAATAGATCTCCCAGTAACTATTGAAACGTAAATGTTAAATATGCATACCCTTCGACCCACTAACACCGTTTAGTTCCCATTCGTGGGAATCCAGCCTATAGAAATGAAAGAAAGTGTCAGGACTCATGCATAAGAACGTGTCTCTCAGTACAAACTGTGGCAAAAAAACAGACACGAAATGCAATCCATCAGTGGGGAATTGTTGACTAAATATGTTGTATCCTCAGTACAGACTATTATGCAAACATAAAAAGAATAAATTTTTATCTCCTGACATGAGCAGATGTTGAAGACATATTACTAACTGAAAAGGAAAAAAAGGTGGAGGGTGTAATTACAGCACAAAAGGACTGAAAAGGACTTATTTTTCTGTATTGTTTGAATTCTTATGAGAGTTCATTTTGTAACATTAAAAAGCAAATTAAAAATATGGCTCATTCCAAGGTACAAAAAATTACTTTGGCAAATCAAAGTTTTTCAAAGTATCTTCAGACTCAAAGAAGTCAAAAAATAAGCTGGACACAAATACACACTACTTGTTCCTGTAGCAGGTGGAATGAAACCACAGTGAAAGAGCATTTGCTTTTCCTCCTTAGAAGGGCCTCAGCACCTGACTTCAGAGAGAGCCCATTCCTTTGCCATGTTTTCCCCTACATGGTGGTTGTCATTGAACTCTTAGGGGACTAATAATCACTTTACAACATTCTGTTCTCCTATTCAAAATGGGTCATGCTCCATATTTCTCAGTTATCACCCAAAATCATACATTTCAATGCTTGTTCAAATATGTGAATAGCACCCAGTAAATGAGTAGGGATGCCATTATCCTCCAGGCGCTCGGTTACATGATCACCGACATTAAAGTCCTACAACTTAACCGTTTTGTAGTAGTTATGACGACTGTTATCATAACAGTTACCAGATCAGATGACAATGTATCCATGGCCAGGTGGGAAGATGTGGACCCAGCAGGACCTAAAATCATGGCCAAGAGACCTCTGTACCACATGCTGACTCTCTTTGAGTGTTAGGTATTGTTAAAGGAGGGAGTTTCTACTTGTCTGTACTGAGACTGAACATGAAGCACAGACTTTTATAAATAATACTTTTTTTTTTTTTGAGACAGAGTTTTGCTCTTGTTGCCCAGGCTGGAGTGCAATGGCGTGATCTCGGCTCACTGCAACCTCGGCCTCCCGGGTTCAAGCGATTCTCCTGCTTCAATCTCCCAAGTAGCTGGGATTACAGGCACGCGCCACCATGCTTGGCTTTTTTTGTATTTTTAGTAGAGATGGGTTTCTACATGTTGGTCAGGCTGGTCTCGAACTCCCGACTTCAGGTGATCTGCCTGCCTCGGCCTCCCAAAATGCAGGCATGAGCCACCACACCCGGCATAAGTAATACTTTTTAAAAGTGTCTTAGTTTAGCAAAAACACAGCAGGGACGTCAGTGAAATACCTTTGTGTTATAGCTGTCATTCTGTACACCTTGGACAACTCCATTCAACAAACAATTTGGTTAGTTTTGAAGTCTCAATAACACAGCGGGAAAAGAAACTACTGTAGTCTCCCCTTATCCATGGTTTCGTGACCCTCGGTGAACTGCAGTTCAAAAACACGTGCGTACAATACAGTAAGATATTTTAGGAGAGAGACATCACTTTTACGACTTTTATTATAGTATATTGTTACGATTGTTCTATTTTATTATTAGCTATTATTAATATCTTCCTGTGCCTAGTTTGTGAATTAAACTTTATCGTAGACATGGATGGATGCATAAGAAAACAGTATGTGTAGTGTTCACTACTATCCTCGATTTCAGGCATCCACTGGGGTGTTGGACCATATCCCCTGAAGATAAGGTGGGGGCACTACGTGGATTGAGAGGTACCTTCAGTGCTGCCGAGCTGTGGTAACAGCACTCACTGTGGTTCCCAGACAAGACTCTCTGGTCGTGAGCCCCCAACAGCCAGTGGTACTGCCATCCAGTTTGACAGATGGAAACCAACGCCAACTAGCCCGCCTGGAGCGGTACAAGTAAGCCTAAGATGCAAACTTTCAGCCAGTTAACTGTAAGTAAACCAACTTTTTGGTAAGGAGGAAATATTTACCTAGCTCTTGGGCAAGATAAGTGTCTTTATTATAAAAAGTGTCAATTCGCAGTCTTTACTGTAAAGCTGGTGGTATTATTAGAGTCTTCCTTTCCACTAACACAAAACTCCCAGTACCGGAAGGCCCTTGTCAGGAGCAGGACCCGCGGAGGGGTCCGTGGTCAGTTCTGGGGCAGCTGCCGGGCAGTCTGTGGAATCAACTTCATTGCTCCCGTGCACCACACCCTAAGCGCACTCGTCCCTCCTGGAGTGCAGACCAGGCCCGGACCTCAGGGATTGGGACACCGAGGACAGGGGGCCAAAGGGAGAGGCGGCATCAGCACCGGAGACAGCGGCGGTCTCCCGAGGCGGGAACCAGGCGGGCGGCAGTGACGGCGGTGGGCACCCGGGGACGGGGTGAAGGGTCATGGGGGGAAGGGGCGGTTACCGGGCCGGACGGTCACAGGGATCGTGTCACCGGGGAAGGGGTGGGAGGTCAGGGGGTTTGGGTCACGGGATGGGGGGAAGCAGTCACCAGAAAACGGTGATGGGGGAGCGGGGGTGGGGGGAGGGAAGGCGGGAAAAGGGCAGTTAGCAGGTCACGGGGAGACGGGTCGCGGGGGGAGGGGTCGCAGGGGGGGGGGTCGCAGGGGGGTGGGCCCTCACGGGGGCAGAGTCACTGAGGGAGGGGTGGGTCTTTCCGGGGGAGTCGTGTCACGGGGGAGGGTTCACTGAGGGAGGGGTGGGCGTTCACGGGGGATCGTGTCACGGGGAGGACGTCCCTGAGGGAGGGGTGGGCGTTCACGGGGGATCGTGTCACGGGGAGGGGGTCCCTGAGGGAGGGGTGGGCGTTCGCCCAGCCGGTGTCACCGGGTGATGGGACGCAGAGAGGGGAGCGCGCGGCCGGGGAGCCTCGAGGGCAACCGGCGGGTGTGGGCGGTCGGGGGCCGAGGGTAGGGCCAACCCCTCAGGCCCGCCACGGCCCCGGCAGCGGATACGCGGGCCGTCACTCACCGCGGCTGCCGGGCGACGCAGCCAAGGGCTCCCGGCGCGGATGGGCGCTGCGACAGCGGACTGGGCGGCGAGGCCACCGCAACCGACCAAACCGGCCGGCAGACGCGGGGCCAGTGCGCAAGTGCGGGAGCCGGCCCGGCACTGCGCAGGCGAGACTCGGACCAATCAGCGCCCAGCGGACCCGGAGGGGCGGGGCGGGCAGGGCCAGGCCTCGGTCCGCGCCGGCGCGCGCCTCTGGCTCCGCCCAGAACTAGTTCGTTCGTTCGTTCGCACCCACTGGACCCTGAGTTGTATTTGCCCGCCCGCCCGCCGGACGGCTGCTGAACGCTGGTCACACTGACAAGCACAGCTAGCGGCTCCCTTCGTGGGCCCTACAGTCTAGGCGGGGAGGGGAGCACCAGGCAAAGCAGCCGGGATGGGGCGGGCTGAGGTCTGTTTTAAATCCGGCAGGGGAGTCGGGGTGCCTAGGAAGGTGAGATGTTACGTGGGATCCGAAGATCCACAAGAAGAGCCCTTTCTCTTGCCTGTGACCACTGAAATGGTGGGACATGTCCCTGGTTTCATCGTGTCCACTGTAGATAGCTGAGCTTTGGAACTGTGTATCAGGCTCCTCCCCCTGCATAACCTGCCCATCTACTTAAGAGTGAAACCCGTATCACTTACCACCTACCCATTTCTTCGTGGTACTTATCCCCTGAATTATTTTATCTGACCTGCTAGCATGCAACCCCCTTTTTTATTTTGCTGACAACTGTAACTTAGTTGTCTAAACTGCCACATAGTATGTATTTCATAAACAGCTGAATAAACCAGTAATTTATCCATCTCTGATCAGCTTTGATTTTCTTGAATAGCCAAGTATTGTTCTTCCGCCACTCCAGCACTAGTGGTAAAGCTGGCATGAAATACACTACATTAAACATTCATTGACTAGGGATAAAACAGAACCACACTACAGCTGGAGAAATAAGACAAATACTATTGTTCAGCCCAAGGTACTACTGGAGAAGGAGAACACTGGGGAGAAATGAATAAATGAATGAATGAATGCTCAGTTATGTGGGGTGGTCTTCAAAGGAGGAGAAATACTTTACAACAAAGGAGAAAAGTACAAAGTCAGGGAGACAGGAAAGGGCTGCAAAGGGGAAAGAAAGATGCTGCTCTGGGGGCTGGTCAGAGTGCAGGTGGCTACACAAAATCAGGCAGGACGTTGGAAATAAAGGTTCCCGAGTAGGGGACCATGTGACAAGCTGATAGGGCCTTATTTTAAAAATTAATTCATGGCTGGGCACGGTGGCTCACACCTGTAATCCCAGCACTTTGGGAGGCCAAGGCAGGCAGATCACTTGAGCCCAGGAGTTCGAGACCAGCCTGATCAATATGGCGAAAGCCCATCTCTATTAAAAAATACAAAAATTAGCCAGGCGTGGTGGTGCGTGCCTGTAATCCCAGCTACTTGGGAGGCTGAGGCAGGAGAATCACTTGAACCTGGGAGGCGGAGGTTGCAGTGAGCGGAGATCACCCCATTGCACTCCAGCCTGGTGACAGAGTGACTGTCCCCACCCCCACCCCGCCCCCACCACACACACAAAAATTCATGCACTTGGCAAACTACGTAAACAGTTAAAAGGATGTGCATAACAGTGCAAATACCCCTTGATCCTTTCCCCCCAGTCTCTCCCTCCACAGAGGCAGTGCTAACACAACATACAAGCGTCCCTCAGGACCTCCCATGGATGCCAAAATCCGAGAGGCTCAAGTCCTTGATGCAAAATGCATATAACTTGAAAACATCTTCTTGTATACTTTAATCTCTGGGTTACTTATAATACTGAATGCAATGTGAATGCCATGTAAATAGTTGTTATACAGCATTGTTTGGGAAATAATAACCCCCCCAAAAAAAGTCTCTATATATTCAGTATAGACACATTTTTGTTTCTGAGTATTTTCGATCCTTGGTCGGTTCAACTCATGGACGTAGAATACACCACATGCAGGGGCAAATACTTGCAGGATATTCTACGCACATCCAGGCATACGACCAGCTCCATCCTGGTAGCATACTTCACAAACACACCCCCCACCACAGCTGTACTTTCTTGTTTGTAGAGGCTGCACTACCTTCCGCCGAATGTATACAGCATGATCTACCCAATAGAATGCGACCTTCAGGAAAATGAATGTGGCCAGGGGGAACAGATGCTGCAGCAACAGCATAGCAGGACACCCCACAGCAAAGGAATCTCCCCTCCTGTTCCCTGGATCACAACGCCCAACTCTGGGATGCTGGTGGGCAGCTGTCACACGATCTGACATCTTGAGTAGGAGGTGACACAACACACTCTGGGCTCAGAGGTTACCTTAAGGTCTTGACGGCTGTGTGCAGGCACAATCGCTTCACCCACTGGCCCCCGGTCGCTACTGGACAGCAAACAAACAGGCTCAAGGCCAGATAAGCCCGCCGTAGGTTCTGCTGCCACCGGCACACTTGGCAAAGACATGATGGTGGGGTCAGGATGACAGAAACAGTAAGTAGCCTTTGCAAAACCTGCAGTCCTCTCCACTGGGAGTATAAAAGACGGACTCCAAGTGCAGCACCAAATGTTGCACTGGATCCTCAAGCCACCTTAGGAGAGGGGACATGGGGACACAGAGGCCTTGAAGAAGGAAGTCACTCACCCCTGGTTACGTGGTTGGTAGGCATGGAGCCGCAGGTACACCAGGCACTGCAGTACAGACCCCCAGGGGCCAGGGGGCACCAGCCGGGCTTTGCAGCTGGCTTTCCCACCCACCCTGGTATCTGCACTATCACCTGCAGACACCAAGTGTGCACCCAGACCCTGGGAGCTTTCAATCTGGAAGCCCTGAAGTGGAAGCCCAAAGCTGCAGGGCCATGTGGCCCGTGAACTCCCGTTTTTGTGGTGGGAGAAAAGATACCAAAACTAACCGTGGGCTTCTGGGATGCTTCTTTACTTTGCGTAATGCGGGTATTTTCAATTAAAAGTATGCATTGATTTTTGTAATCAGATTTAAAACGACACGAAGAAAAGCCCAAATGCAGAAGAAAAAGAGAAGCAACAATTCCCAGGCCACCTGCTCACAGGCTTTTTCGGTGGTGAGCACCTGTGAACAGGTGTCCCTGCCCTTACTCGGGCACATGGACTGGGTGTGGAAGGACACTGGTGCCAGCATGGCCCCCAGGACAGTGACAACGGGTGCTGTGCGGGTGGCAGGCCACGCCACATGGGGCCACGATGGCCCCCAGAACAGTGATGACAGGTATTGTGCAAGTGGCAGGCCACACGGGGCCACCATTGCCCCCAGGACAGTGACGACAGGCACTGCGAGGCCACATGGGGCCACCATGGCCCCCAGGACAGTGACGATGGGTGCTGTGCGGCTGGCAGGCCACATGGGGCCACCATGGCCCCCAGGACAGTGACGATGGGTGCTGTGTGGCTGGCAGGCCTCGTGGGGCAGGGCGGCGCCGGCTCTTTCCTCCACATGCGGCTTTGGGAAGTGGCTGCCTGGTGGACTCAGTGAATGTGGTTTCTGTTCCTTCCAGGTCCTTCTATGGCCACGGAAGAGTGGGTGAGGGGAACACCTCTGGCTCCAACATTACTTGTTTGGTTTTGTTTTTTCCTCACACAAATGAAAAACCCAATTAGCATCTCATTTTTACTGAAATACCAGTTTTCTATGAAAGACGAAATGATAACATATAGAAAAAGGTCACTTTATTTTGCCTTTTGTTTGGTAGGCTATCAATGCCCTTTAAAATCCTACTATTCAAGTACAAATGCTTATGTTTACAAAGTATTTACAATTTCAGTCTGGTTCCTTTCTATTTTAAAACACAACAGCTAACTGGTTACAACAGTTAACAAAATAATAATAAAGGTCACAAAAAGAGAAACCCCCGTCTTATCAGGCACCAAATCTGAACAAGGGCTTGGATCCAACCTTCTGCTTCCTGCCAGATGCTTTAAAAACAGTCTGGCTTTCATTAGATAAACGTCTTTCTTTAAAGAATAACAGGGCAACTGTTTCCCAGGGTGGCCAATTAGAGTCTGACAGTGTTTGGGCTGCTGCCATTATAGTCCGTGTTCTCAAAGTTTCCAACTCTTACTTGCCGTATTGGAATGAACCCAGATTCACAAGGGGCCTAGACAACAGCTTCCTGAACGTGTACTTAATTCTTAGGTTAGAAACTTTAACCTTTAAAATGGAAGGCCAAGAAAATAATATACTGAAAGGAGAATTTTTACTTACAAGACAAAGTGAAATTAACTCAGGTCAACGGTAGCATCTAGAAGTTACTAAATTGAGTGCTACGAGTAAAAATATGTCCATATTTTGTATTAGAGAACAGCCAAAGGAAACACACTTGAGATCTCGACAGGAGACCCTCACTGACGTGAGATCGGGGCTGGAACTCCACATTGCAAATATTCAGAATCCCGTTCATCTCTCCAAAAAAGCTTTTGAGAGATGTTGCTAAATTCTCTTGTAGTGTTTCAGATTAATAGAGCGCTTTTACTTAAGTTATGGCTAGGATATTCTAAAGTAAGTGCACTCAACATTTTATCTTCACCTATAAAGAGAACAGCAAGATTTGGGAAAGACAAAAAAACCGAACAGGGCACGCAAATTAAAACAGATGACAAAGGCAGAATTCCTAAATACTTCAGTTCTGCACATTTCTGGATGAGGAGGAGTAAAAATTTCCACCGGGAGCCAGATCCGAGGCCCGCAGAGCGGCCCTCGCTCCGGCAAGCTGCGCTCTCACGGCACATGCTGAGTCAGGGAGAACGGGTTTGGTTAGAAGAAACAGATTCCAGTCCTCTGCTTTGATATGTTCACCTAACTAAAAGATTAATTTCTTCTGTTTTATCAAAGCTTGATTTTTACTTTTCTCCAAATTTCTTATCAAGAGCTCAAAAGTGAATCCTGCCGTATCGCTGTCCACCGAAACATACGGGACAGAATACCTTCCTCAATGTCACTTAAAGTGAGAGAATGGAGAGGAAGCAGATGAAATACAATGTAAAATTGGAAAATCTTTATTGTGCCGTAACTGATTTTTACTATACAAAAA